GCATACAATGCTAAGGAGGCAAAGTTCCGATCTGTCGGCGGAACATCCGTGTCATGCAGCCGATTGTTGATTGACGACGCACAAAACATCCCTGCCGCCAGGATTCCGGACGCAGGAATGATCAATTTAGGTGCGGAAACTGCTGTTCCGTGTGCTGACGCAAACGAAGGAGTACCCTTCCGCTACTGCCGAGAGAACGCAGAATCGCCCCCAGGATCAAGAAAGGGGCATTCCCTTGTATTCACGCTTCGACCAGGGTGGCATCATCGCTTTCGATGTCATTCCGATGTACATGGAGCGTGAGAGGGAACACATGAAGGCCAACGCCGGAGAAAACGATGGCCGAATTCTTCTCCAGACAAATATTCTGGATGAACAAGGCGAACCGACCGAGATCACTACCCGATGTATTATGGAGATCGCTCGGACGGACAACAACCGAATGTTTGAGTTCTTCTACTCGACGATCGACAACGATGGAAGTCCTCAATTTGTTGGCATCCGAGCCACCTACGGTTTCGGCCCTGATAACTTCAACCGATTCCGACTGCTGACCAAGTGCCAGCACGGGCCATTTATCCAGCTCGCTCAGGATCATTACGTCGCTGGCGAGAGGAAAAGAAATGTGGCCCGATACCATCCTCAGTACGGATGGGGATGCGCAACGATTCGCGAATTCTTCGGGTACATGAGCGATTGCAAGATCAATCCTCCGAAAGGACGGCTGTTCCTCACTCTGCTCCCGTATGCTCCCGGATCTGGGAACAACAATGAGTGGGAAGAGGTGTACATGAACGTCCGAATGAACCCGGGGCGTGAGACGCTTTCGAACACCGCGTCATCACAATCCATGCTCCCTGAAGGGATGGGATCCAACCGCATGATCGTGTTTGCGATTGATTTGCACATGATTGCGGCGGGAATCAATCCAATTGTATTCCACCCGAGGGGATATTATGCGATCAAAGACAGTATCCCTCTCGCCTGTATGCCCATTGCATACTTCATGGACACGGGATCCCTAGTGTTCAACACGGCCTTCAAATATGTTGGAGGTCCGAAGTTCGGCACTGGCCCCAAGAGAGGAGACCACAAACGAGAAACGTGGCCACTCGCTAGTTTCGACTGCCCCATGTGCGGAGCATCATTCCCGGTGGGTCTCCACATGTGTCACTCATGCACCAAACCGATTCACTATCCTGATGGGATTTCTACGCCGATCCTGTGAACCCCTTTCAGGTCGAGTACTATGGAAGTCATGCCGAATGGCTCAACGAGCTCATTGAGCGAAACGAGCGAAAAGAATTCCGACTTCACGAGTACCCTGCAATCAAGCAGCTGAGGAATTTCCCGGTGTCTAGGTCACTCGCTGAGGACCACAGGCAAACCGCGTTCTTCGGGGTGCCACCGATCAAATGCACTGCAGCTGATACATCGCCGAAAGAAGTGGAATTGTTCAAGAAGAGCGTGCGCGGAACGATTCAAGGCGCCATTCGATTGGACATATCCATTGAGAGGCTTGTTGCCGGTATCACTGGCAAGGAAGCTCGGTGCGGTGTGGAAGAGTTCCTCAACTCGCAATCGATCGCCTGTGCAATCACGATAGTCAAGCACTTCGGCGCGATCTTCGCCACATGCCGCGAAAAGCCGCTGTGCTACTATGCACGATGGTCGATTCACTGTCAACGCGCATACCGAGTCTGCCTGTCGCGCGGCTATCTCTCCCCCTTTTACACAGGGGGGACGATCGATTATACCGTCGATTCAGACATGGTCGAGAAAATCCGGCTTGCGCATCTGCCACTGCAGAACGCCAATCTGGCGATGAGACGGCAAATTCGACTTTCCACCGAGTTTGGAACGTTGGATGAGTTCCGTGCCACTATCACGGACACGCAAAAGTATCAGCGATACATGCGTGTCGATAGTGAAAGCCTTTCCGCGCTCCTTGCCAAGGTTACCCTTACAACGTGCTACGGCATTCCGATGAAAGGTGAACCTGGCTACATCTCCGACGATGAAGCAGAGGAGATCGAAGGAACTGCAGCGGCAACTGAGAAGCCCAAAGGGAAAGGCAAAGGGGAAGAAGAAGAACCCGATGTCCAAGCCATCAATTGGCGTGATTTGGACCCTTTGGGGCGGAAGTTTATCCCGCACCATACTGATTCCCGATTCACGATTTTCGCTGATGGGAATACGGCACTCCTTGATGCCCCTGAAACGCCTGATGAGAAGCGTAAGGAATTCAAGGAGTTCATTCGCGATCACTCTGTCAAGATTAAGGAATGGTTCGACGATGATCGCGCGACTGAGAAGACGTTCTTCAATCTTGTTGAAGGCGTAAAGGATCAGCTCCCCGATACTAAGAGAACTGACCCTGTTCTTATGATAAAGAACGAAGATGTCTTCGAGGCTCTACCCGATGAACTAGAAGAGCCTCAAGAACTGTTCGACGTCGCAGCTCAGCGGGCACGACGGCGTGATGATACGCCTCAGCGCAGAGTGCAGGCCACCGAGCAACGGAACGCGTCGATTCCCGAGGCTCATGCCGTCCCCGTTCCTCCGGATGACGAGGACGAGGATGATACTGAGCTCGAACGGGCGATCCGACCCGATCCGAAGTCACAACGCACTGGGCGAGAGCATCTCGGAGGTGTCGCTCCTGAGACGAATCCGCCCCCGCCTCGCGAGATGCCGCCTCCGTCTAACCCACCGAGTCGGAAGACGTCGAGGCAATCGGGCTACAATGTCCCCCACGCTGATGGGGAGACACTGATGGTCTCAGGAAGGGCACCCTACTCCGATCAAATGGGTCTACCCTTGGTACTGCGAATGAAGACCCGGGTTCCGGAACCTGATTTGGACAACCCGACGATTGAAGATATTATTCGCATGTATCACGCACCGAACACGCTGCCTGTTGTCAGGAAGAAAGTCGCCAATGTCATCATTTCGATGAATGCAAATCCCGATGACCCTATCAATATGAAGGCGGCTGGCGTGGTTCCTCCCTCTGCCGAGGAAACAGGAGCGGGAAGAACCGCCTCGCCTGGAGGCACGTCCGCTACTACGCAGGAGCGGATCAACCCCAAGTTCCCTGCACCAAATACTCGCACTGCTTCGAACCCACCTTCGAAATCAGCCCGCGACGAGAAATGGGCTCCTTCGATTGTGCGGCCAACCCCTGGTCGGGTGATTACTAGTGCAGAGGCGCGGGGGCGTCCACAACAGCGTGTTGTTGAGACTGCGGATCCCGCACCTCCAGCCCCATCCGGTTCCGCTTCGACTGAGCCGCGATCTCGAACGATGGGCCCGGCCAAAGAAACAACGGCCAAAGGCAAATCCCGGGCTGGCTCAAACGTGACGGGCCTCATCGATGAAGCTGATGACACGAGGCAACCGACGAAGGGCAAAGGAAAAGGGAAAGCCGAGAAAGGAAAAGGAAAGCAGGAGAAAGGCCGAGGGAAGGGTGATAAGGGAAATAAAGGAAGGGGCGGTTCCGGACGAGGAAACAAGGACCGTACCCGTAGCCCCACTACTCGTAGGTAACGACCGTCAACCTACGTGGCGACGCATTGTGTCACTGCAAGGTGAATCCGGTTGAGTCTTTCTGACCCATGTTCCACACGTCAAACGGGTCAGGCGGATTCTGATGGTGAAACCCGGCTATGATACAATTTCCGCTAATTCCTCAGCCTTCCTTGCCTGCGCCGCGCTGAGAAGACCCACAGGGGTACAATGGCTAGCCATGGTATTTTCCTCGTGTGTCCCTCTCTTTTCACGGACACTCGATGCTGCCGAGTTCTCACTCTGAGCGCATTGAGTCTAATATGTAAAACCCGCATAGATCCGATGGAACATCCGATTGCCACCGATCACTTGGCAATTCGCTATGCGCCTGACGATCACAAAAGGCTGCGTTTGTACAGAAGTGAAACATAGGTATGATCCAGATGCAGAGACCGACCCACATCTAATGGTTCTTAATTGCTTCTAGCTTAGCTGACCGGAAGAGGTGTGGCTCGGTGCACAATCAGTGGATGTGACTCTCTTAAACTCCGCTCTCCTCACGCGTGAGCTCGCGTCGAGGGGGGTGTGATTTGTCACTGACATGCGTATATGTGCTTCTGCCTTCTGGTTAGGAATCAGACCAACTTTGTCTCACTACGCAGCTTGACTGCTCAAGGACCGCATGCGCGAGTCCCAGCAAAAGATCCGCTAGAGCCTGGGGGTTCTGGTGTTGTCTTTCCGCTGAGCGTCAATCTTACGGTTTTAATCTCTGATTGTCCTGCTTTGCACCGCTTGCTTTGCTTTGATCTGCGATCGGCTGCCTTGGGCTTTGTGACCGAGAGTTGAGTGGAATCCTCCGCTTTTCACACTAGGGTTGATAGTTTATGTTCGAGTTTAGGCTTAGAGCCTGCATTCAGGCGGGGTTTAGGGTTGGCTGTAGGGTTTGAAGTTTGGGTTAAGGTTAATAAAAGCAGGAGCAAGCGCTATAGGCTACGTCATGGGATTTATGGCTTGCGTAGGGCTTGCGTGCGATGCTGAGCTCCAACAGCCCCCACCCCTCTCCACAAACGCCAGCCCCCCCCCGCCCACCCCGTACCAGACCATACCATTGGGGGGGGGGGGGGGGGGGGGCTGGGAACGCCAGACGTATACATACCGATACAAAACATGTCTTGCTGTGACTATTAAGGCCCTACCTTCAGCGCTTTCGCCACAGGCTCCACTGACTGAAAGGGTCATGTACCTTTCTAGTATATATGTTGGCCTCAAAGGGGGTTGCTATGCAGGGTAGCTGTATATGGCCAGGGTGTAAACTTGATGGGCACGTGGCTTAAAGGCTAGATATGTTTCGGAACATTCGTAGTGAGGTCATAGTCCTGTATGGTTGAACAATTCTACACTGTAGCCCACAGAAAAAGCTGTTCAAAGCTTCCGCCTTGTAAACCAGGATGCCTACATAGGCCCTCTCCAACTCAAGTTGTTATGCAAAGGTCGTGGGCTTTTGCGACCACTGTCGGAGCGATGCTGTGCTACTATGAAATCCTTCCAATGCCCTTCCAGCATACGACGACGACCCTTGGCTGGTACCAAGGAATTCGGATTAGGGTTCAGGGTTTACGGAGAATTATGGGAGTATTCGTTTATGGCAGGGATATTAAGATTTCAAGTCTCCGGGACCGTGCGGACTTTGAAGGCTAGAGTTGTTTCGGAGATTCATGGTGTACACGTCTGAGCTGTTGATCCTCAATATTGTTGCTATGAGTGACTTTACTAGCACAAGCAACCTTGGTAGTTTAAAGATATTCTTGCTACGATCCGCGTTGCCATGGAACGACTAGGAAAGGTCTTCTGGGTTGGGTCGCAGCTTCGCTGAGCAGGGTGTTGAACGCATACTGCCGCAGTCGCCCCTCATATCCAAAGCAATTACTTGGGTACTTTAGTACGAGGTTTCGCGTTCCTTCCTATCGTAGTTCATCATACTCTACCTGTACTTAACGGCAGAAAACCTCGCAACGCTGAACCGTAAACCTGCCTTGTTCACGTAGTTTCCCGAGCGACGATGCCTCTCATGAAATCCCTGTTCAGAGTTCAGGGGAAATCCCGAGCCACCTACCGGAAGCTTGCTTCTCCATCGATGCCTCATGTGGGTGGGCCCTCATTCGTACAGATCCAGAAGCAGGTTCAGAAAGTACAGGGGAATCCCGCAGATCGAGAACAGTCGTTCCGTCCAGAAAGTAGTAGCCTCGAGCACTAAGTTCTTAAGGGTTCCTTCAAGGAATCGAAAGCGGTTCAGGGCACGATGTTGACACTCCAGTGCAACCCCTCTTCTCGATCCAAATACCATGCACTTGCCTGCCCCCCCCACCCACAGAATGAACAAAGAACGTACACTAAACCGAAGTCGTGCTGTTTCGGTTTTTCGTGGTATCTTCCCTCCAAATCTGTTCGCAAGACAAGGAGATTTGGGCAAGACTACACGTCTCTTGGCTGGATGCTTTCAGGGATCCCAAAGGTCAAAGGTTGAAGCTTCTAGGGCTTAGCGAGTTTTTGTCTTCGCCCAAGTATTTGGTAGCAGTACTCCTTGGGCTCCTTCATGTAATGTAGGGGCCCACATGTTTACCAATACGAGTTTGAGGTTTCCATTTTTAAGACCATAGCATACTACACCAACCCCCCCCCAAAAAAAAAAAAAGACGAGTCTACTTATCAAGGCCCCTCTGCTAACGCATTATAGTGCCCTTAGGGTCTCCCTCAGAGGAATCCGTTTAAAGGATCCTTACTCTTATTATTGAGGCCCCTATAGTATCCATCGGATCCCTAACCCGAAAGCCTAAACCCAAAAAACCCTAAAGCAGAAAAAGGCTGCACTAAAACAAAAACACCGAAACTGCCCTGAACCCTAAACTCATCGGGACCCTTAGGGGGTTAAGAGGGAGGGAGGTAGGGGACTATACTTTTTTAAATGATAAACCCTATAAACAAGCAGCGCATCAAGTCCTGACATCCGATCCCCATTGGCTTGGATTGAAACGGGAGTTTCAGAAGATAGGGGACCCTTATGTAGTACCCTAAATAGTAGGATCCTTACTACAAGGACCCAAAAATGAGGTACCCCGAATTTTTCGGAAACTCCCAAGTGTCCTCAGCCCCGAACCTGAGTCCTGGGTTTAGGGCTGGGCCGGCGGGGAAGGGGACAATCTAACCGTTAGTCTCCATTGTAGGATCATATATCGGAAACTGGTTAGAAGTATGCGCTGCAGCCCTGAAACCCTAAACCGTGGAACTCAATCAATGAAAACCAGATCCCTCAACCCTAAGCCATGAACCGTACCTCGAAGCTTCTACTGGGCCCCTAGGTAATAAACCCACGAACTTTGCACAGTCAAGGGCCACGTAGTGAAGGCGCCGCAGCATGTAGCATCTCAGTAAGATTATTCCCTCGGCCCTCAATATGCTATATTCTAAACACAACTGTATATGGGCAGGCCTCTATACTCGGGTTCCTGTTAGGTCCCCAGAAGAGTACGGCACGCTTGTAAAAAGGCCACTAAATGGGACCCTATTTTTGAGAACTACCCATGTAGTTTCTCCATGGAATATACCCCCAAGCTTCTTGAAGCTGTGTAGGCCCCATGCAGCATGCTCCGGGGCGTAGGGCTTAGGGAGTTATCAATTGTCAAAGGTCTCAAGCCACAGAGCGGTTGGCGCGCAAGCCAGCTACCTCGAGCACAGTCATTTTCGAATGTGTCCTTCCGTAGCCGGGGCGTCCTTCATTGCGTCCCGCCGTCAGACCCGCTTTATGCAGCTTGTAGCCCCCCCCAACAAAAAGCACTGCAGCTTCGGACTTTCCAAGGTGTCCCTATGGGCTTTGGCTGCTGGCCGGCGGCTGTTTGGGCCCCCTCTTCGGGGCGCTACTGTCACCCCACCTGCCACCGGGATGTTGATCAACCCTCCCAAGCTCCTTATATAGGGGCCTGAAGAATTACCAATGCTATTTTGGGGGGTTCCTTATTGTAATTGCGGTATAATGGGCCCCAAAGCCTTATTCTAATTATTCAGGCCCCTATATTAAATCGCAAATTGGAAACCTGATACACCTTAGAACCCCAAAGCCTTTGTACCGAGCCACGTGATGAAGCCGGGCATGCAGTAGAGTTTAGGGTTTAGGGCCTATGATGAGGTCGGCTATGTACAGTGTATATTATTCGTTGAGGTATATATATATATATATATATATATATATATATATATATAGGTACATACATTCGTGACATATGCATAGACATACACACTTATAGTTCAGAGTGTATGGGTTCGAACTGGGTGAAAAACGCTTCAAGCTCTGTTATTCTGATGTTTGAAGGAGGTGGTCTGTTGAGGTCGTTAGGATTGGGATGCGTGAGGGGGTCTACATAGTATCCTGTTGTCAAGGATCCAACCACCCTTGGCATGCTGTACAAGCTTGGACTTCTCTGAGTGAGGGGGCTGACATGGTTTGACTAGTGTGATAGAGATCGATCGTTCATGAATGCCTTTGCACCTCTGCTTTAGTCGCCCAAATCTGAGTACACTTGTTACGGGCTTGTCTCAGTGGTGCAACTCTGTGTTTTTGTTGGACTTAATGGGTTGTCTTCTTCTTCGCGTACCTAGCCAGTATAGATGCCTTGCTTCTTGTGGGGGCCAGTGGGAGTAGGCGCTTACCTCCCCCGAACCCATTTCGTGTTCCGCCGAAGCGGCAAAATGACTGAAGAAATCAAGGCCGCAGTGCTGTCATCCCAGTGCGGTCCAGCATGCCTTTCTCGACGGCGTCTGCATCAACCAGCACCTTTGCCCAGCTTTTGCTGGTTTTGAAGTTCAGGGCTTGGGCTCTAACCCCTCAAGTCCCACAATCCGACTGTGTGCTTTGCGGATTCGTTTTGATTTTGCACTGCGCTCCAACGCTCACCACGAAATGCTCGAAACCCGAAGATCGTCTCGATTTGTTTAAAGATGGGCGGCGAGTCAACATGAAGGGCTCTCCAAAGGGTTTTTTAGCGGAGTTGGGCTTTGGCTCCCTGGTGCTCAGTAGGGAACGGGGGCATGGATCCTTATAGTAGTCCCTATATAATCCCTAAAAATAGTCCCCAAAACCCATTCCCCCATACCCTACTACGAACCAGACAAAAGGTTTGAGGCCGAGTTGGGGTTTGGGGTTCAGGTTTGCAGTCGACCGTCCTTTCGGGTTCGGGATTCAGGGACTTGGGGCTTGAGGGTTCTTATTTCGCAGTTTAGACACCCCTGTTCCTTCTTAGCAGGCAAATGGGAGACAAAGCCATCGAAGGAGCTGAGGGCTCCCACCAGTGAGCCCCCAGCAACCACGGTGCCCAGAACTCTCAGGCTCTAAGCCGTGAATAATATGCCTAATATGCCCCAAAAAACTGAACTAAACCCTAAACCCTAAACCCTTCGTAGGGTTCTGGTGGCCGCTCATGAACCGAATTCAGTGCCCTAATACCGTACAACCCCAAGCCCAAAGATAAAGATCCGTCGACAGATAGATGGTTCAGGTCTTCCACGAAAAATGTGTGGTGTCCCATGCCGTAGCTAAGCTTCAGAGTCTAGTGGTTGCGGGTCTGTGTCTCCTTGCCTCCAAACCGCTAGACCCTAAATCAGTCCCCGAACCCCGAAAGCCCCAAACCCTGCGCCCTAGATCTTCCAACCCAAAACTTAAACCCTGAAGCCAAAACCCTGTTAGCACCTCATCCCCGAAGCCTGAAGCTTAGAAGCTAACACCTACGGTAAGCTGTCAACCTTGTCCAACACTAAGCATGTTGCCAACGTTACCAGCAGGCCCCAAGATGGAGGTATCATTGTTAAAATCACTATCAGCCCCCGTGTGTATATACAGATACTTATGTATATGCATGTATGCATGTATGTTTACATATTTATTTCTTTTCTTATTTATAGGGTATACGTTTAAAGTACGCATCTGTATATATATATATATATATATATGCAAAAATATCTGCACATATGCATGTAAGTATCTTTGCTTGTTCGTTTTCATTATTAATTAGACCAAACCGCAAGAATCTATTCAGCGTTTAACAGCGAGAGTATGCAAGACACAGGGCCGACAACGAGCTGAAAGAGCGGGGAATCTACGGCATCGGCGGTTTTTTGAGTGTCTCGCAGGTGGGCATTTGAAACAAAGCCAAGACCCTAAACCCCAAGACGAAGACCCTTTCCGGGTAAATTCAGAGGTTCAGGATTTGCAAGCCGGAGTTCAGAGCCTCAGGGGTTTAGAGGTTCAAGGTTTACGGTGCATGCGTTTTTTGGAAGTAGGAGTGTTAGTATCACTCACCCTGGTAGTCCCTATCTAATTATCGCGCGGTTTTTTGAATAGCCAGCAATTCGACCTTTGCGCTCCTTGTATGGCATCGTCCAGGACTTCGGGTTCGGCGCACCTCCTAGAGTCGAATAGATAGGGGGCTGGCAATGTGGGAACCTGATTAAGAAACCTTGGGCCTTTACTAGGCTTTTTTATATGAATCCTACTATTTTGGGGTGATCGGCCCAGGGTTTCTTAATCAGGTTCCTACATCAGTCGTCCAGATTGATTATACATGACGGTGTTTAGGCTTCAGGACTTTAAGGTTTGAGAGTTCCGCTTGCGGGCTTGGCTGTTACAGCCGGGGAGGGGGGTCCCGGTTTTCCAAGCACCCGCCTGACAGAGCATGCTCAACAACAGTCCCTCACTCCTGACACCCCCACTGTTGGGAGTTAAAACCTGTGTTTCCTGCAGCCCTTTATGATAAGGTACTAGTACCCGGGGTCACATTCAGCCTTTAGGAGTACTCGGCTTTTCATTTTAAAGGCAGAGGACAAGAATTCAGAAGCTTGAATAACTAACGAATACTGTTCTCTAGGGTTCCCTTTTTGTAATTATAGAGAAATATACTCTCCTAGGATATTAAGGCCGCTCTATTCGAGCCCATAAACCCATTCCGATGATTGAAGCCACCCGGCAATTATCCTACGCCCCTATAAAATCCTGTGCGCGCAGTCATGGGGGCTCTTCAAAGAATCCTACAGTCTAATTAGTATACCAAAGAGAGCTCCGGATGACTTCTGCTCAAATTGACCTCGAAGCAAGCCTACAGTCTGGGCTGCAGGTAATGTCGGAACCTGATTAAGGAACCTTGGGGCTACATACCCCCTAGCAACTAAAGAAACGGCGACGGTTCAGAATGGAATTCTTCTTAAGGATGTAGAAACTTGGGATCTACGCTCAGGCTCTTACCAGCTGAAGGAAGTAGTAGAAATAGCTCCCCTGAACCCAACAACGTAAACCCCTGAAAAATTGAAACCAAAACCCTACTTGCTACCTCCAAGTGTCCTGACGCTTGAAGTGGCTTTTCAGCGTCTTTATCTCAATAAGGCCCTGTGTTTACCGAAGATCGCAGCTTCCGTGAGCACCCAATCCCCAAGCTCCATGTACCTATGTGGGAGTTTCCGAGGTGCTTATAATCAGCATCCTACTATTTAGGGTACCATATTCGGGTCCCCCATTTTCGGAAAGCACATACAGTAGATACTCATAGATATATACATATGTATGTACATGGAGCCTTGGGGTCAAGCAAATTAGTTGAGTATTCAAGCTAGAAGAGTAGGGATACTTGCATAGTGCATAGAAGTATCAGCTCTGAAGTTCCGAACCTTTAAAGCCCCGTCATCTCGACGACAGGAGTTGCGAGTCTTATGGAGCGCGCCGTACCTGTCCAGTCTGTGGTGCGTCTTCGAGCCACTTAACGAAGGTTTCGCTTTCGCGTTGCTTTCGGAGCTGTTGGTTATACAGATTGCCAACCTAAACCCTGGTTTCTAAGGACCCCAAATCCGTCGGTTGCTAAAGCCTCAACACTAGAGCAGGTCACCAAATCGTTTCCATGCTTACAACGCTGAGCCTAATGGCTAACTCCTCGGCTCTCATTCTATCCGGGTCAGCGCAACAGGCATACCGAGACGAGGAGGAGAGACTGCGATAGGATGCTGAGGCCTAGGTTTGACACCCTACCCTAGTAGCGTGGACGTGACCGACTTCGGCTACATGGAATCTGGCTGCCTCGATGTTGCTCGGGTTTTAGTGTGATGGGTCACGGCCACCGCGCGCTCTGTCAAGATTTAGGCCAGTGATGGGGCTTGAAGACTCATAGTACTGTTCCTTGAGTAAGGATTGTACTTACACTCATTAAAGCCAACCCTCAACCGCAGAGGACTTGTGGTAGGCGGGCTTGCTCGTACACAACTCCGAATTACAAACGGGCCGACCAAGACCACCTGACACAGAAACATACATTGAAGACGCATGATGACTTGGCGTTTTTGTGGTTGGCCCTTAGGACTTCAACCTCTTAGGCTTCTACAATATGGAGTATAATAAGGAGGCTATAAAGGTAAACTTTTAAAAAAGCAAGACAGGTGTAGCAACCAAGGCTACACCACACAACGTTGAAACAAAATTCAAGCAGCACTTGCACTCAAACAGACTCCAGACTCCAAAGACGCGAAACCATTCAAGACAGTCAGTGGTATGGAAAAACGCCGGCCGCAGGATCAACACTTCCGCGACCTTAACCCCCTTTTCGACCGTTGTAAACATCGTTAATTTTAATGCTACGCTGCCCGCCTCGGCTTGCCAGAGACATCCGGAGACCAGCACTATGACAGAATTCATCAGTGCGGGGAGAAGTGGGAGGGATGGGGGCAAGGGACGCAAAAGAAGAGTCCGGGGTAAAGGGCAGTCGGGGCCAGGCTGGGCAGGGGGCAGGCAGGGGCGGGGGGCAAAAAAGCAGGTAAAATGAAGGGGTTTGGATTCCTGAACGTCAGAAAACCTTGTAGTCAAGGAAACAAGCAAAAGGCCATTGAAATTCTCAAGACCTTCTCAAGAGGCTATGGATCTCTTCAAAGAACCCTATAGAGCCCTTATAGATCCCGTAAGAGAAGCCTCTATAATAGGGCTTTGTTACGAAGCAACCCCTGGAGGGAACCCGATTCTTGTTGGCAAAAAAAGAGGTCCGATTTCAGCCCAGGCTGGCGGCGTACAGGAAAGCAAACCCAAAGGGCCGGATCCAGCTGATGCCGCTCTTCGTGGAACAGGCCACGGGCTACCAAAAAGGGCTTCCAGGGTTTTGTTGTGGCTTGGTTTTGTGTTCGAGGTTTAGAGCTTTGTCTTTTGGGGCAGTGGGTTTAGGATCTTTAAGGTATAGAGAAATTTTGAACCCCAGACCTAGCTGGAAGCCTTCTTGTTGGGAGGGCTGGTTTGGGGTATGAGGTGGCCAGGGGAGTTTTTTCCCGTCATGTCTTCCGTCGTCATCTTCGCGTGCATCTGCTTGTCGGATATACGGTACGGTACTCTGAAGCCCAAAACCTTATCGGGACATCCGGCAGGCAGAACAGCAGTGTCAGGCAGCATAAGTAAATCAAAGTTGCCAAGTCCTGTGAAGCTCTAAGTGACCACTTTCGCTTGGTTCGGGAAGCTTCCATAAAGCCGCCAGCTCCAAATCCTAATCATCGAGGGGATGCTGCTAAACCTAGACACCAACCCCCTGATCCCGGAACCGCAAACCCCAACCCCTACTCCCAAATAACCTACGAGTTTAAGGACGTATACACAGAATTCATAGCTTGGAAACCTAAAACGGTAGGGAAGTTGAGATCCAGGTAACCCCGAAACCCTGAAGCCTTCTACTGAATGCTACAATCTTTGCCCTGAGCTGCAGGCCGTCGTCGTGATGTGGCTTTGTTTTTGGTTTGTGTGGCTTAGCCCGCAATCAGACAGAAGCTGCTGAAACCTGAACGCCTCAAACCAGGGGGCAGAACTGTGTGGGCTTTGGACCGTTTGTACCCTAGATACCCTAAACTCGTTTCATAACCCTAAGCCTCATTTTACTGCAGTCCTAACACGCATCAGGCCTAGGTAAACCCGATGTTTGATTCAAACCCCAAACCCTCAACCATGCCTCGATCTGCTGAAACCCAATTGCAGGGTATTTAGCATGTGGGATATTTAGCAGGTGGGAAGGTCTCCAAGCTTAGCGTCGCTTTAAACAAGGGTGCCGCTATTTTGGGGGGCCCAAACAGGGACCCTACTTTAGAGAACAACCCATGTGTTGCAGGGAAGCGCTTATGGTGGAGGTAGGTGAAGTAGGTCGAGATTCTTATAGCAATCCGAGTCTTTCTTGAATCATTCCTTACCTTTGTCCCTTGCTCCTGCAAGCAAGGCTCCGAAAACACTACATCCCACAGCCACACACGCAGAACCTCTTCACCCTGAGACCTGCATCCAAATTCCTCACCCAGAACCTTCTTGAAACGGTGCTTTCAAAATCGAACTAAAGGGTTCGCGCTGAACGGAACCAATAGTTAAATAGTTCTGACTTTGAAGACTATTAAGTAGCAACGTTAAATATGAATTCGATCGTAAACATCCAAATTCAACGAACCCACCGCTCGGCTGGAGCTAGCACCTTCACACAGCAATGCTCCTGAAGTGTATAGGTGGTGTCTTTTTTCTCAGAGAATAGGGTACCCGAATGTAGAGCCTTCAATAGTAAGATCCTGAAAATACAGAATACACAGTAGAAAGAAGGCATAAACCCCGAAATACTGGAATCCCTAACATTGGGATCCCCAGCAGAAGGTGGCCGGTTTCTCATTCACAAGTTTTCCCAGAGTAGTTCTTTTTTGGGGCTTCATATTTCGAATCCTGTAAGGTAATCCCTAGGGTGCAAAGTAGGACTTGGGTTTGCTGAAATCCTGTCGCTCTCAGGGTCATGGCCTTTGTAGCGCCTTCGACCCCACCAGGCCCTAGACCCTAAACCGACCGCCTGAAATCCCACGAAAGCCAAAAGTACCCTTAACCCCTAAACCCTAAACCTCTAAACCCTAAACCGTGGAGAAAGGTGCGCCATCATGTGGGTGGGTACTGCAACCGATGCGTTTGCAGACGGGCGGCAGGGGGTTGCAGCACCTCGGCTGCGGGGGTCAGGATGACCTCCGCCAGGTACTCCATAAACTCTCCTACAGGAGTCTTGGTTCATTCGCTACGCCAAGCTAAAGCTAAGACCGTACTTTACCACAGTCATTATTCTTTCTGACATGGGAGTTTCCGAAAATAGGGGACCCTGATATAGTACTCTAAATGGTAGGATCCTGATTATCAGGACCCCGAAATAAGCTACCCCAATTTTCGCAAACTCCCACATGGACGCCCTACTGATGCACCACTTGCTTTAATAGACCCGCAAGCCCCTGCCCGCAAGCCTTGTTCTAATTGCTAGCAGCAAGTTGGTTTATCGAGCCTGGGGTTCAGGGCTTAGGGTTGAGGTTGTACGTGTTGGGTGTATAGATCTCGATATGTCTGTGTACATACATTTCTATATATACACAAACACACATATATACACGTGCACATGCAAGTATGAACATAACTACTGCAACTACGTATGTATGTATATATACATACATAGAGAGAGAGAGAGAGAGGGAGAGAATTATGCCTGTATACAGTGTACACATGCCTATACAGAGCTTACCTCTGCAACCTCTGGTTTTAGGCTTCAACATCTAGAACCGAGGTTGCAAACAGATTGTTTGTCTGGGTTGCCTAGGAGCGGGGGGTTTTGAGCCACACACACACACACACACCCTGAAAGCTATGGTCACTATAGTCCAACCTGCAGGTTTGCAGTTTCGCCAAGCCCCACGCCCAAGACCTCACAGTGGTAATCTGAATCCTAAACCCTAAATCCCAAACTCTCAACTCCCAAACTCCAAAACGCTATCCGAAGTCTCAAACCGTAGATCCCAAACCAACACGCTAAGCCCCACAACCCCAAGCCCTTAAACCCGAACCCGGTTCGCCGAACCCCCAAATCTTGAAAACCCCTTAATTAGCCACTGAAACCCGGAAAACGCTTGAACCCCAAAGACCCCAAAGCCCTACACTCCCAATCCCTAAGCTTTGTAAACCCTGAACGGTAAATCACGAAGACCCCAAGGCTCCAAACCCCCAATCATTACATAAGCCTTAAACTCCAAACCCTTGATTTTCGAAGCCTTAAGCCCTGAGCCCCTGAATCCCTAGGCCTTAAACCCTAAACCCCGAAATCCTCAATCTTTACACCCTAAACCCTTACATCCCTCAGCCTTAATCCCCAGCTGCTTAGGCCCTGGCAGTCGGCCCGCTTCTTCCTTTCCTCAAGGCCCTTTGCTCCACAAAGGTTTAGGGTCTCAGAGTGTCTTTGTGTTTGGGGTTGAGAGTTTAGGGTTCAGATCCTAGGCCGGCAAAAAGCGCCAAACCTAGAGGTTCATGGTTTATGGTGCTTGTTGGAATTTAAAAGGGTTTTTGTAGGCCTCCATAGCGATGCACAGAAGTCCGAAGCCTTAAAGCGAGACAAGAGTCGTACCAGCGGTGCGTTTGCTCGCGCTTAAATCGTCTTGTTTTCAGCCCTTTCCATCTGATCCTTGATCCTAAATTTCCCTAAACCCCTCAGCGCTAAATGCCAAACTTCACTACACAATAGGGTCCTTCTCAAGGGTCAGGGCATAGTTTATGAGGCTCTGAAAAACATGAGAATCACGTTCGCCTGTTGCCTCCATATACGTGTATAATGGAACATTCCCCGAAACCCCACTCCAGCTGTTCATGCTACAAAGTCTGTGACATGCAACTTGTTGTATGCCTATAAAGCACAAGCATGGAACAGAACTGTCTGACTCGTCATAATCAGTAGAACTGCAGCAAATTCTTCACGGAGCCTTCCATGCTTTTTGGCCCTTGCTTGTAAAATCGCCGGCATCATTTCTAGTACCACTGCTTAGGGGTTCCAAGTTCAAGCTATCGGAACTAGTACAATCCCCGTACCTATGAAAGATCCTGTATGACACTCGTGACTTCTCATCTTCAAAACTTAAAGCTGCGCTCCCCACAAAACTCCCAAGACGATAACGACGCACTGAAGACTCTGACCAGATATCTTCAGGATCGCCAGACTTGGTAGGTGCTAAGCAGAGCTTCTGTTGTATGCATGCATGGATGGACGGATGGACGGCTCTAGGTGCGTAAGTATGTGCAAAAATCGCGATATTTCATGTGGCTGTCATCTCTTTCTTCGGCAGGTTGCCGTAAAGCTGTACATGCAGCCTATAACTTGCATGCACCGATCCTTCAAGCGAGCATAAGGCCTGTACCTTAACTCTCTCACCGGCACCACATCGACGCTGTAAGGCCAAATCTCTAGAATCTTCGACACCGAACCCTATTCTCCTAATTCCTGAACCGCAAAACCTTACACCCTAAACCCGGGCGCGAAAGCAGATGGAAAAGGGGCTGCAAAAGTACAAAACACCCCAAAATCCTGAAACCCTAAACGACCGTTGCCGTGAGGCTCTTCGGCGCAATTTCAATGGAGCCCGCAAGCTCATAACAGACTTAGCAACTCGAGCTGCAGAGTTCCCTGGGGTCTCTCCACGGGGTCCTCCCTAAATCCTAAACCTGTGAAAGTTTTATAGGGTTTAAAGGCCTTGGAGGCTTCTCAGATCTCTATGACGAGAGCATGAAATTTCTATCAGGTTTCTTTGTTCAGAAGGTCTTGAATAAGGGCCCTACGTTTGTCGCTTTCGGATTTCCGGCTTTAGGGCTTCAGGGCTGGAGGATCTCGGGTTCAGGTTTTCAGGCTTTCGGGGTTGCGTGTTGAAGGCAAGGGTTCTGAAGCTAGGGTTTGGGGTTTAGGGAAGCCATGAAGCTAGGATCCCGTCCTTTAGTTCTGCTAGCCATTTTTACAGGTTTTTGCTGGCATAGGACAGTTAAAACTTAAAACAATATAGGGGTCCGAAGCATGTTCCCTCTCCTCCCTAGGACCAGTTTGACCTGGCAAATGCCCGCTGCGCCCACGCCTTTGACAGAGAGCAGCCCGGCAAGCAAGTTGGAGGTCCGGGCAGCAAGCAACATGGGTAGTCCCTATAAACTGGGCTTTGCAGTACCATTCCTTAGTACTTTTTCTTAAAAGGAACCATTATGAAATACTAGCTTATACATTTTTCTTCTTGCTTACCAAAAATCCCAGGGTACCATAGTAGTTCCTTTTTGGTGGTTATATTCAGAATCCTGTAAGGTAATCCCAAAGTAGAACTAGTTTGGGGCCTATGGGTAGTCCCTGTAAACACTGAACCCTTATGAGGACCTAAGAGGGACCTTAATTTAGAGAACTATCCGCATGCCATGGGTTGGGATTTAGGAGGTGGTGTAGATCTAGAAAGTAGATCCCCTAATTTGGGGCCCTATACTACTAATGGTACTTTAGCGGAACCCCCATTAAGGGATCTACTTTGTGGATCCTCCCGGGGGTCTGGGTCATCAGGCTGAGTGGTGGCCTAAAACCTAAACACGAAAGGGAGCCACAGACTACGGGTTCAGGACTTCAAGGATTCAGGTTTCAGATGGATCCCTTGCCCGCACCCACACTCACCATGCCACCCAAACACGGGACCCAAACACGGGTGGCCTTCCATTCGGCTGTTTTTTTCAGAGCTTCTAGTGCACGTGCACATCGCAAGCATGTCCATGTCATCATGGTAATTATCCTGGTCTCCATCCTCGCTTTCCAGCGACCACTCGAGCAGCATGGCTCTTACAATGGGTCGCAGCGTGAGTGCTCTCTCTTGAATTGTCAGTTTTGGATGCCTGCAATGATTGATGCCCAGGTTTGTGTGCAGCGCCATCCGGATGTGGTACGGCAGCGACGACGCATTTACAGAGCCATGGCCTTTCAGAAGAATTGTCGCGCAGCAGTACGTTTGGTAGAAGCAGCAGGCATCAACATTGACACAGCGGTTTGTTCGGACCCAATGAGTAGCTGAATCCAGCCCTTGCGGAATGTGGGTAAGAAGCTTACGAGATATCCGATGAGATCTCCAGTATAATAGAGTAGCCCTTATAGACCCTTCTTGTTTTTTGGGGGGGCAAATTGAGCGGGTCCACTTTTTTTTTTTCCTAGGTCTGGCCTGGTCTGGGGGGCCTTGCTAGGTCTGGTCCCATGGTCCCTGGTCCCCTGGTCCTTTGGTCGTCCCCTGGTCCCTGGTTCCCTGGTCCCCTGGTCTCTCCTGGTCCTGTACCCCTGAACCCTCAAACCTGCAAACAACTAACAACAAACAACTAAATAACTAACACAACTAACAACAAACAACTAACAAGAAACAAGAAAGAACAAACAACAAATCAAGAAAGTGATAGGGGTTAAAAAATTAAGTAAGGATTAAAAAAAATTAAATAAGGATCAAAAAATTAAATAAGGATCAAGGAATATTAAACGGGTATCCGCGAAAGGAAGGGGAAAAAGGAAGGAAAGAAAGACAGAGAGAGAGAGAGAAGGAAAGAAAGAACGAAAGAAAGAAAGGAAGGAAGAAAGAAAGCAAGGAAGAAAGAAAGAAAGAAAGAACGAAATAAATAACGAAATATAAAAATAGAAAACAACGAAAGAAAGAAAGACAGAAATAAAGAACAAAAGAAATAAAGAAATAAAGAAAGAAAGCCATGCAAGAAATAGAGAAATAAGTAAATAAAGAAAGCTACAAGTAAAGAAAGAGAACAAAACTAGATAACTAAGTAAATAAAGCAAGCTATAAGGAAATAAAAAAGAAAACACAAGGAAAGAACCAAAGAGAGTTAGAAACAACAACAAAACAAACAATGAAGAAATAACCAAAGAACAAAAACAGAGAACTAACGAAAGACGGAAGGCCATAAATTAAGAAAGAAAAACAGAAATAGTTAAAGGAACAAGAAAGACGCGGAAAATAAAGAAGAACGATACGTAAGACTATCGCTTCATTGTGCTTTAAAAATTCAAGAATTGCTGTATCTAAAAAGCAAGAAAGAAAGACAGACATAAAGAAAGAACGAGAGAGAGAACGAAAGAACGAAAGCAAAAACAAGAGGAAGAACGAAAGCAAGAACTAAAGACATAAACTTAAGGAAATACCACGGAATCCGTAGGAAAATCGTGTTTTCCCGAGCAAAAACCAAGCAAATCCTCAGGAAATGAAAACGAATCCGTATGCAAACAGTGTTTCCCCCTGGGAAAATTCAAAAATTGCTGTATCTAAAGAGGACGAAAGAAAGGAAAACAGAAAGAAAGAAAGATAGAACGAGAGAGCGAACGAAAGAACGAAAGCAAAAACGAAAGAAAGAACGAAAGCAAGAACGAAAGAAAGAACGAGCCAAAGAAAGAACGAAATAAATCAATCCAGAAAGAAAGCAAGAAAGAAAGGAAGGGAGTATGAGATGAACAAAGAAAGAACAACAGAAAGAAAGAAAAGAAATGAACGAGCGAAAGAAAGAAAGTCCAGAATAAAAATGCAAAGTTGGAAAAGACGAAAGAGAAAGAATATGAAATAATCACAGAAACAAAGATACAAGCAACAGGATACTACATAGTCCAATCGAATTTACCATAATATCGTAATGTACCGTAACATAATATAACATAATGTAACCTAATGTTATAAAACATACTACATATTATGTTGTAAATATACACACTGTATTGTACTATGTTACAATGTACTACACTATAAACTAAGATGTTGTTTTGTTCTATGTCATCTTCTGTTATATTGTATTGTTGTATTTTTAGTATGCTATTATATGCTATAAGAAGCAAGGTTCTGTTATGTCAGAAAATGTCACACCATTTTTGTGTTGTCGAACCATCTTATGTCGTTCTTCTGGTTTACTATGTTATATATATATATATATATATATTAGGTTAGAATGCTAACGGAAGAAGAGACACGAACAGGCACGGAAGAACAAAACACCCGCCGCCGCGCTTTTCGAGACGTGCAAGCTTGATTCAAAGAGTGTTTTCGAAGCCCATCATGTGAACGTTGTCTCTGCAAATGGGGGGGGCTGCGCCCCCCCCAACCCCCCCGCTGTTTTAAGCCGTGCAGGGTTGCTTTGAAGCATATGCCTTTTTTTGAAACCCAGCAAATGAGGGCGTCTCCGCCCTTGTAGATACATGCTGAACCAGAATCGCCAAATGAGGGGCGTGTTTAAGATAGATGATGAAGCGGAATACCAGCAACAGCTACAACAGGAAATCCGTCCTAAATGTGAAATTGTAAGGAAAATTTGATTTTCCCGAGGAACAACCATATGTTGTCCTTCTGAAAACCTGAAGAAATGACACGAACGCCATAGGTAAGAGGAAAATAGGTTTTTTTCCTACGAAAAATCAAGGAAAACTTAGGGAAATACCACGGAATCCGCAGGAATATCGTGTTTTCCAGAGGAAAAACCAAACAGATCCTAAGGAAACAAAAGAAATCCCTGGGAAAACAGTGTTTTCCCTTGGAAAAATTTAGGAATTGCTGTATTTTAAGTGATTTAATTTTTTTTGATCCTTATTTTAATTTTTGTTGATGCCTCTGCCCCAGGAATTGCTGTATTTTGAGCGATTTAATTTTTTTGATCCTTATTTTAATTTTTTTTATATTTCCATTTTTTTGATCCTTATTTAATTTTTTTGTTGGTCCCTCACCCCTTTCAAGAAACAACAAACAAGAAACAAGGAACAATAAGCAGGAAACAACTAACAATTAACAAGAAACAACTAACAACTCACAACTCACAAATAACAACCAACGACTGACAACTAACAGCTAACACCAACAACTAACAACTAGCAACGAACAACTAACACCTAACAACTAGCAACTAGCAACTAGCAACTAACTACTAACAACTAAACAACTAACACAACTAGCAACTAACACAACTAGCAACAAGCAACAAGCAACACACAACAAACAACAACAACACCACCACCACCAACAACAACAGCAACAACAACAACAACAACAGCAACAGCCACAACCACAACCACCACGACAACCACAACAACAACAGCAACAACAACAAGAACACCAGCAACAGCAACAACAACAACAAGAACAACTACCACGACGGCAACGACGAGGACGATGACGACGACGATGACGAGGATGTCGACAACGACACCAAAAAACAACGACACAAGACAGAAGATTTGAAATTGTAATCCCGCAATATTCACACGCGAAACACGACCCTGCAAATTGTAGTGCTCCAATAGCTTCATGCAAGACACAAGCAAAACCAGACCCTGCGAATGCTAGTTCCCCATTAGCTTGATGGAAAACACAAACAATAAAAGACTCTGCAAATTGTAGTTCCCCAATAGCTTGATGCAAAACACAAACAAAGCCGACCCCGCAAATTGTAGTTCCCCCATTAGCTTGATGCAAAACACAAGCACAAGAACACACCGCAAATTGTAGTTCCCTAATAGCTTCATGCAAAACACAAGCAGAAGAACACACCGCAAATTCTAGTTCCCTAATAGCTTGAAGCACAACACAAGCAGAAGAAGACCCTGCGAATTCTAGTTCCCCAATAGCTTGATGCAAAACACAAGCAACACCGATCCTGCAAATGCGAACTCCCCAATAGCTTCATGCAAAACACAAAGAAAACCGAACCCTGCAACTTGTGGTTCCCCAACAGCTTCATGCTAAACACAAGCAAAATCAGACTCCGCAAGTTGTAGTTCCCCAATAGCTTCATGCAAAACAGAAGCAAAACCAGAGCCGTCAAATTCTAGTTCCCCAATAGCTTGATGCAGCAAAGACCGCAGTTGCCGCTGTTGGCAACCACAACCAGTGGGCCAGACTTAGGAAAGCAAGCCGGGGAGGGCCAGACCTAGGAAAAAAAAAAAACAGCTCCGCCAAATTGAGCTGCTAGGCGATCCGAGTCTGTCTGGTTTTGCCGGCCTGGGGGGTTTAGGGACTACTTGGGGAAAGAGTTTAGGGATTAGGGATTACTTGGGGCAAGCACTATTTTGGGGAGTTCCTATTTATGAATGTAGTATAATGGCCCCCCAAGCCCTACTCTAAGTAAGGCACCTATAAGGGATTGCTTGGGGAAAGAGTTTATCTGCAGGGACTTGCATCTCAGACTTTATCCTCCAAACTTTCGACACTTCTTCACTACCGGCGCCGAAAGCCTATTTGGGTGGTCGTCAAAATTATGGTCCCCTTTTTGGGTCCTCATTATAATACGGCACCTAATTTTAGGGTACCCAAAAAGGGACCCTAATGTTGACAACTACTCATTTTGGGCGTTGTTCGAAAAGCATAGTTCAGGCGTTGTGATGCAATCGGCAAGGCGCCGGGAGAACTTCCAAAGAGAGCCGGAGACTCTGGAGAGTTGAAAACCAGCGACTGTGGGGGCCTACATAATTACCAATACCATTTTTTTTTGGGGGGGGGTGGGTTCCTTATTAAAATATTTATAGTATAATGGGCCCCGAAAACCCTATTCTAATTATCAAGGCCCCTATATTACTTGCTTCAGGTTCCAGAGCTTTTTGGTTCAGGGTTTCTAATCCACTGGACCCCCTTCATTCTTGAAGCCCTAAACCCTAAAGACGGGACCCAGGAGCACGTGCGCGGGGTTTTGCGATCAGAGCTGCTAGCTTCTCGGCTTTTTCGGGAGGTCCATGCACATCCTCAAAAATTTAGGAAGGTTTAGGGCTTCTACAAAGCCAATTTGGAGATCTCAGAGTCTTATACGATAGTAAAGGTTAGATGAGGGGGGAAGTCGAGCTGAGTGGGTTAGGGTTTTAGGGCTTGCGCGTCATATGCGCTTTAGGCCCAATGGTCCGATAGGAAAAAGCACACCCCAGGAAGCTCATACAACAGCCCCTTTACAGAGCCCACTCCTCTCCATGTATATACTTACTCATATACACTTAGCTTGTATGTTAACCCCAAGTTACAAATCATCATCTAGAGCCCCTTCTTTTGCTAAGCCCCCTGAACCTTCAAGTACAAGCTTGAACAAAGCCACCATCTAAGGCCACTTCTCACAGTTGGCTCACTGAAACTACGCATTGTGGTAGCAACATATCATAACAAGAACATGCATAACGACAATAATAAAACATTGAATACTAAAACTCATATTCATGCTCATAGTCATACCAACACTAACAGTAACAACACTGGTAATGATAATGCTAACAGGAATATTAACGATCATGAGAACAACAATATCCATAATATGTGATAACAGTAGGGGCCTTGCTGTTGAACTTTTTACATAGCGTATACTGCTCTGCAGTTTTGTAACAGGACTTTGCGGAATCCATCGAGATTTGGGAGTAAGAAGCCCCAAGCCCTATCACAACAGCGCAAAACCCTACGGTGACTTAGCATTTTTCTCCTGCATCCACAAGGAGTGTGCCTAAGCTCATTGTACTTAGCACACGAGCTTCCACTAACCTTTTCAGCCCCGAAGCCTGAATGCGCCACAGTTTCACAATGCTTATTAAGTCCAGACCCCAGAAGCGGGAAATTGCGGACGACCCGTCAACACCAAACCCGAGTGAGGGTTCCTTACTCTAACTATAGTTCAGTATTACGCCCAAAACTCGGTTCTGAATATGAAGCCTGTATCAGGGTTCAGGCGTAGGATCGCAACGTACCGAAAGCCAAGGTCAATGAGGCATCGATGAATGTTTCGTCTTTGCCCTACCTCCTCCTTGTGGCTACACCGGTCTTTTCGCTTGGTGCCTTGCTCAGAACCAACAATGTTTGCAGTAGCTACCCCACAAAGACCCTAAACCCTAAAACGAACTGCATGGATTTTTTTGCCGTCCGGTAGATTTTTTGTTCATCTGTGATGCACGTTGGGGTGAGGGCTCAGACTGCCCCAAACCCCTTCGCGGAGACCCCAAACACTCGAAATTGAACCCCGAGATTCAATCACTGACCCTATCATGGTTTAGTCATGAACCCTGAGCCCTAAACTCCACGGTCAAGAGCCCTCAGAGTGTTTAGCCCTCATTAACCCTTCTGCAACCTTTTCAACCTTTTAGAGACCTGAAGCATCCTTGAAAAGCCCTCATAGAAGCCTTAGATATTCTTGTGAAACCCCTCAAGAATCCCTTTGGACCCTTTTGTGGTCCTTTTACTCCATTGTCTAGAGACCCTGTAACCCTTCTTGGAACCTGCATAGACCCTGTCCTGGACCCCTCATGCCTCCCAGGAGTTGGCCCAAATTGAGTGGCAAATTTCATCTAAAGCCAAATACAAGCTCGAGAGCGATAGCAAACAAGTAGTGAGGGAAAGATGTAAAGGACTTCGAAACGAGACTTAAAAGTGCATGAAATCGCTGAACTGGAAGCGAATGGAATGTGCTCTGCTTGAGATTACTAAAAGGGCTTGCGACATCTGGGCTCTGGGACGCAAGTCCTCAGTCTGGTTTGAAAACTCTGTTAAGAAGGGTTAAGGGTGATAGGGATGTTTATAGGGCACTTACAGAAATCCGAAACCCTCGACCCTAAACTCTAAGCCCTATAACATCAGAACTCTATAGAACCCGTACTAGCATACTTGTTGGAACCCTTAATTGAACCGATAATGGAACACTTAATTAAAACCAGGTCTGGAGAATTGTTTGGCTCTGCTGGTGGCCGGCGCGCCGTGGAGACCGATCCTCTCGGAGCCCGGGCAGCTTTTGGTTTCAGGGGGCTGTCATATGGTTGTTCCAGGGTTTACAGATTGAAGGGTTCAGGGTTTAGGGCTTTTAAGGTTTAGGGTTGAGGCCAGCTATGTGGTTGTTCCAGGGTTCGTTCACGGGTGTTGTAAGGTGGTAAAGGAGTGTTAAAGTTTATCTTATACAAGTGGGTTTGCCTGTGGGGTTGACAGAGTTTTGTCGCGTCAACCGAAATCAAGAGCAACAGCCTCAACGGTAGTCCTACTAGTACCAGCCATACATCAAACAGCCGTTCAAAATGGAGTCGCAGTAAGTTACCTACGGCGCAGGAGCTCGGTGGCAGGCCCTATTCTACCACAGTCCTAGGAGCCTCGATCCCTAACCAGAACCGAAAAATCTGTAGCTATGAAGCCCGTATATCAGATTTGTAGAATTTGTAGAACCTCATTTTTAAGCCGTGTGAAGCGATGATTTGAAATCCTAGAGTCCAAAATTCGCAGATTCCTAAACCTTGAGACAAGCAGAGTCACGAAGCTCCCTGCGGAAGCTTGTGTTGAGGTGTAAACTGTGCTTTCAAAGCCCCAAACCCGAAAGTTTAAAGCCTTAAGCCCTAAACCAGGGTTTAGGTTTTGGGGATCTTAATATAGGGGCCTTAATAATTATCTGTACTGTCGTGGGGGTTCCTTATTCTAATTCTGGTAGAATGATCCCCCAAACCCTAGTCCCCTACATCAGGGTTCTTGGACTCCAAGCCTGGAAACCAAAACCAATCAAACCGTTTCTGCGAACTCCTCGAAAGGAGCTGGCAGAGCCTTTATTGATTCTAGAAAGCCCTGTAGGGCTCTTGCGCAAATTCCTTCCAACAAATCCATCGACACATCCGCCAGAACCCTTGGAGAAGCCTTGTCCGGCCCCCATACAGTGTATAGCATAGGGGCCTAAGTAGTTACCAATACTATCTTGTGGCTTACTTATGATATTTATGGTACAGTGTTCCACCAAAACCCTGTTCTAATTTTTTCGGCCCCTATAGTACTCCCCAGGCCCTGAATTGCAAACCCGTGCTCCTTAAGCCCTAAACCCGAGCCCATACTCGAAACCTTCATTGCTTTTTTCTGAAACCCTATATCCTAAATCCTAATCCGTAAACACAAACCCTAATCCTTCAACCCTTAAACCCTCAAACCCTAAGCCCTAGACCTTATACCCTAAACCCTATTCCCCTAGAGCCTGAACCCTAAGCCCTAAATCCTATACCTTAGACCCTAAACCCTACACGCTAAGCCCTATTCCCCGGAGACCCTGAACCCTAAGCCCTAACCCTGAATAACCTACCGTTTTAGAGTTACTTATTATGATCTCTTTTTATAAGTCCTTAAAAATGTAAGCTCTTCGGGGTTAAGGTAAGCCCTGAACCCCCGATGCCCCCCTTTGCTGGAGGAGCTCTTGGTCTTCTCCCTCGGCCTCGGCATGTGGCGACCTGGCCCTGGCGTTGGGGGTTTAGCGTTTAGGGCTTAGGGTTTAGCGCTTGGGGTTTAGGGCTTAGGGTTTAGGGCTTAGGGTCTAGGGCTTAGGGTTTAGGGTCTAGGGCTTAGGGTCTAGGGTGTAGGGTTTAGGTGGGGGGTTTCTTTAAGGTTTCAATGAAATTTCTTTCTGAAGGGAGCCCTTTAAGGGTTTCGGGGTTCTTGTAAAAGAGCTTCTTAAGGGCTTAATTCGGGGGTTCCTTTCAAGGAGCTCTTAACGGAACCTCTTGTTTTACGGGGTTCCTGTTTGAAGGAGCCCTTAGAGGAAACGTTGTAAGAACCCTAAGAGGCCTCTAGAAGGGTCATTTTAAGCGTCTAGGATTTAGGGTTTAGGGTGCCTCAATAATTTCGAATGTACGGATTGTGATAGAAGGCCCTTTCTAGGCTTCTAGATTGGCTCTGAGAGGTTTTGTCTCTGGTGTTTCGAAAGGTCTTCGTAAGGTCTTGAGGCGTTTAGGGCAGGGTTTTGTATATGCGGATTTCAGAGCGGTTGTCTAAGGCTTGTACAGGGTGTTCTTCAGCCGTTGTAGGGTTGAGAGTGCTTGATACACCTATTCAGGTGTTGATCTGCGTTTAGAGGCTACGGGTTGACGGTTTTTGTAGCTTTCTGCACTTTCCTAGTTCCATGTTTCCAATAGAAAATCTCCTGGGCCTTCTAAAGTTTACATAGCACGGGTCTCAAAGTTTAGGGCTTCAAGTCGCGTAGTATTGGGGAGCAGGCATCGGGTTGATTCGGGTTTTGGTTTGATCGAGCAGATGAGGTCTCCTTCCAACCCTGCTTCTTTGTAGGCTCTTAGTACGAACCCTTTAATGAAATTTTATGGGGACCCTACACGAAAGTAGGTTTTGGTAGGTTAAAGTAGACAACTACCTATTTGTGTTAAGAGTTCCGGGGTTCAGCTCGGAGGAGTTGTGGGTTGAGGATGCCCAGAAAGCCTACACCAACCCTACTTAAAGGATCAGGTGACTTGGTCAGCGAGGGTTCCTTAAAGGGTTTCTGCAAAGGGTTCTGTAGATTTCATTAGTGTCATAGTGTATTCCAGTAAGTGTAGACGGTGGTAGACGCTGCAACATTGATATAGGGCTGAAGGAGCCCTGACTCAACATAGATAAGTGGGTTCGTGGGGTCACTTGAGCTACTGTGTGGAGTTTCCGAAAATTAGGGGTCGTTATAGTAAGGATCCCATTATTTGGGGTACCAGATTAGGGTCCCCTATTTTTGGAAGCTCCCATATACCAACTGGATGTGAAGCATCGTCTTAGCATCGCATGATTGGGAGCAAAGGTGCCCGAAAACACAGATCCTAAATTCCGCGTCGCTCTGACTCTCGACGGGCATGAACTGACAGAGACAACAACGAACAAGTCTAAGTTGAGCCCAGAAGCATGAAACCTTAACCCTAAAGCCTGAACCCTGAAACCTAAAACCCAAAGCCCTCAAACCCTAAACCCGGAACCCGACTTGCCTAGACGTTCCCCGGGTCCCATGACAAACAGCTTTTGGGAATTGGGCTTGGGTGTGAAGGTTTAGTGCCTAGGCTTTAAAAGCGATTACAAATACACGCATACTAGGCACGAGCAATTCGCCGTAAACGCCGAGGTCGGCAATGGTAGTGCGACTTGTTGAGGCCACTACGACATGTTCTTGGGTAATGAACCTTTAGTGGATGGTTAATATGTTTGTCCCAGTTTATTGCTGAGGCCAACGTAGAAAGTCTTGTTGATGTAGTCCTGATGAAACCTCATCGCACCGCTGTTGTCCGACACCGCTTGTTGTGACTAGACTCAGCATGCGGCAACCATGCGAGTATGAACTCTGACGACTACTGCTTGTGCTGATGACGATACTGATACTCAGACTGGCATTCATACCATTTATATACATAGGAGCACGATTGACGAAGTGCTCAGCGAATACTACACACCCAAAGCCCGCACGCCCTGCATTCTATAAGCTCTGAACCTCAAACCTTAACCCCGAAACCCTAGACAGCCCAGATTTTGGGCTGCCTGAAGATTCAACCCTGAGGTCAATAGCATCCGTTAAAACTGTAAACCTGAAAGCAGATGACATGAAACTCCAAACCTTCTACTCTAAACCCAAGACCTTAGACCCTGCAGAACCCTAGACCTGCAACCCGAATCCCGGGATGGAAGGTTTCTGGTCAGCTTGAAGTTACTGTGCCACGGCTTGCAGTTTAAGGTTTAGGACGACACAGGGTTTAGGATTTCAGGCTTCGTGTCGAGCGTTGAGGCTCTCGTGTTTAGGGTTCAGGGTGTCGGTCCTATAGGGTTTAGGTTTAGGCCGTTTGGTTGGCTTCACTGGCTTATTTACTATACAGGGTCTGGCCCATAGTGCAAACAGCTTCATCTAGACCCTATATACAGCTGTACTGTACTACACCCCGACGTCAGTTATAAGATTTTCGATCCCTGCTTGCTTGCCGAGTTTCTGTGGTAAGTTGCAAGCATTGGGATTCTTACCGGACGCGGGGCATGACGAAATGTGGAAAATCTGCAACCGGCACTACTCTGAGCGCTAGTTTTGCTCCGTGTCCCCCAGACCAATGCAAGGAGGCAGCACTACAAGTCATCCAGGAGTTCCGCCCTGTCTTGTTACTGAGCTCCTGAATCTTGAAATTTCCATGTTCTCGTAATGCATCTCTGCTGTGCGTTCTGTCTCGACAGGTAAGTCCGAACCTTATGCTGCACACATGTGCCTTTGGACGCCCAGGTGGTACCTGTGCAAGGCTTATGCAGCACCGCATCCATGCACGCTCTTCGACGTTTGCAAGACGCTGGGAATCGCCATTGCGCCCTTCCTCTGCATTTATAGCTGAACACTGAAACGTTTCCTGCGGACTTTTCTTGCAAAGCTCTTGGAGCCTCCAGAAACCCCGGTTCGGCATGTGGCCCTGACGTTCCATCGCTACCTAGTCCGGTTACAAAGTCTACCGTCAGCCCTTGCGGAGATTCCCTTTTAGAACCTCACCGCCTGAAGGCCTGACACGCTAAACTCTCTAAGCCCTAGCAGAAGTTATTATTGTTGGAGCACTTGAATCTAAACAACACTACCTGTGAAGATCCCACTCGCTAAGTCCGACATCTCAAGGCCAAAGCTTGCGTAAAAGCTCAGATGGGAGTTCCGAAAATGGGGACCCTAATATAGCACCCTAAAAAGTAGGATCCTTATTATCGGGACCCCCAAAACGGGTACCCCTAACTTTCGTAAAGCTCAGATGAATCCAGCGACTCGCAAAACGCCTCTAGTCTTGTGCCTTACTCGGGTCGTTCGAACCATTCGTAATGATATCCCTCTAGAGTCTATACCTGAGTATACCAGAGTGTATACGGGTTCTATGGGTCAGTCGTAGACCCTTCACCTTCAACTTACGAACTTGCAGTCGCCAGACCCCTAAAACCGAGCACTTAGTAACTGTGTGGACCCGGACCCCGGGCCAAGACGTAGCAAGTCTAACGTAGGAACCTGATTAAGAAACCTTGGGCCTTAATTACGGTTCCTTATATGAATCCTACTTTTCAGGGGTTATAGGTCCAGGGTTTCGTAATCAGGTTCCTACATTATCCCACGCCTTCTGAGTCGTGCATCGATATTGCACCCAAAGCCTGCTTCGATGTGTTAAGGCCCCTAGTACCCCATGAAACCCTCACCCCCTGCCCCTTTTGGTAGCTGCAGGTTTGCGCTGTTCCTAGGGGTGGGAGCTGGTGCCGGCTTCTACATCTTGCGAACCTTGTCCTTGTCAGATTTTTGCTAGGGCTTCGGGTTTTAGGGTCCAGGGTTTGGGGTTCTCAGCACTCGAGCTTAGTTGCCCTTGGGGTGCTCTGCGTGGACTTTCTCAGCTTGCACCAGATAACTTAGCCGGCCGGTTTTGACGCTTTTGGGGCCTCTGAACTCAACGTGTCAGTTTGTTCCACTTGGGGGCTATGGTTCAGTATGGGGATGTCCAAATAATTGACTTGTGGATGGGAGCATACCTCCTCATTGGAACGGAGTGTAGGGAGTGTAGAGAGGGACTAAGCTCATCAATCACCCATACAGCTTCATTATGCCATTACACGCCCACTAGCCACAAAATCCGTTGACCCCTATGGACCACAACCCCAGAACCGTTGCTAACTGCTAACCCTGTTGTTTGAAGCCAGAAGCAACCCAAACCAAAGCTCCTTGTCAACCTAAACATACTCAGCGCGTCCACGTGTACTTCCACTCAGGCGACATCATCAGTATGGTTAGCTTTTTGGGACTTGAGTTCATGTTGTTCCTGTGGGGCTAGATCTGGATATGGAAACTCAAACCCCCAAGCACTGAGCCCTAAACCCTGACCTCCGAACTAGTGGTCCTAAAACCGCTGCCCTCAAACCCAAACCGACACCCCTAAACCCTTAAACCCGACCATTCGAGTGCCCTCCTCGACGAATGCTTCGACGATCGTTTCAGGGCTCTTCCCAAATTTAAAAAGATACCCCAAGGGTAACTCTATGTAACGGTTGCTATAAGGGTTCCTCTTGAGGCTTCGTTTAACGACGGGGATTTGTTAATTGTTAAGGGTGTCAAGATCACTTGTTGTAGCACGTCTCATGCAGGGCTTCATAGTTTTCAGTGGTTTCCAGATTGTATGGAAATTGGCAGAGCCCGATAGTCCCTAAGCGAGGTAATTTTATGTCCGAGCCGTACTCAAAGGATGAAGTGGCTTAGTACATTCGAGAATACTCGATGGTTATATGACAAGATACTATTAACATACGAGCGTATGCCAGAGCATAGCTACCAGCCCGCATTCTAATCATGAAGGCCGCTGTGTGAATCAGGCCTTCTCTCCTGAAACCCGAAAGGCTTCATTCCCAAAGGGTCCTAAGTACCTGTATGGTAGAATGTGGGTTTCTATATTAGGAACTACTATCATGATCCAGGAAATTGTCCCCCATATCAGTACATAGCACCCTTTCGGATTGTCTGCAAGACCCGGATGAGTAGCTGCTGCCGAGGTCGGGCGGAGTCACTGGTTAGCCCAGCGATCTTCGCAGTCTGCGAACTGGGCCAAGACTTGAGATTCTGAGGTTGCTGGGGTTTGGGTTTCAGGGCTTGGGGTTGAGGGCTTTCCATGCTGTTTGCGGTGTGGTGGCTCAGAGTTGAGGCTTGGGTGGAGGATTTAGAGTTCAGGAGATGAGCTGCCTCGAGGGCAGAGACTGTGTGTGCAAGGATCCCTGATACGTCCTGGACTTCTTCGAGGGGCCTGCAGCACGACCCTTAACCCTGGACCAGGAGTATCCTAAACTATGGGATGTCCGGCCTATCCCATAGTTTTCGTGGAGATTACAGGAGTGTGTCCGTCAGCGGGCCCTGCACCCTAAAATCCTAAAGGACTGCACCGGCAACATGTCCTGTTTTCATCTGCAGCGAAAAGCTTGGGTATCACAAGCAGCTTAAAATAGGGGCCCAAATAATTACCAATACTATTATTGCCGGGTTCCTCAATTATGATTAGGGTATAAAATGTCCCAAAACCCTATGTCCCCTGGCTTGATACGACTTCCGGACCCTGCCATGGCCCGGATACAATGTTAGAAGAGGTTACGAATCAGGGCTCGCCAGTTTGATATCGCACCGCAGCCCTACCTGACCTCTCAAACCCTACAGCGTAGCGTCCCCTACTTATCGTGTGGGCCCTGAAAACCCGTGGGTTGTGTTGCTTTTGGAACGGAGGGTGGCTGGCTTGAGGTAAATCCCGAGTAGTTCCCTTTTGGGATTACCTTATAGGATTCTAAACACAAACCCCCAAAAAGGAAGTAGTACGGGGCCTATGGGTATGTCCCGAGCCAAGGCACCTTGGTCGCGGTGCTGGCCACTTTTTCCGAGAAATGCCTTCGCGAAGCGCCCTGTAAGAAGCGACCGGAGTCCTGACCCCAGGCCCTGGGTTGCCTAGACCACTAAGATAGACTATAGAGGTCGGGATAACTTGTAGATTGATCCCATTGAACACACCCAAACCCTGTTCCTAGCATTAAAGATTCGAAACCGATGACTCCCCGGAAAAGTATTTCAGGACTTTGGCTTTCCTCATGTTGGGGGGGGGGGGTGCTTTTATGTGTACCCTAAACTTTGCGCTGCTTAAGCTAGGGCTCCCGTTTTTAGGCTCCTGCGGGGGTAGGGGGAAAAGTTGGGGGAGGGGGGGTAAGGCCTTAATACCCATAATAAGGACTTCAATAAGGCCTATTTAGTTAATCCGCCACCCTGAGGGTCCCTGTGATTTAAGGGGCCCCCACTTACCTAACTCACAAACTGCTGGCTTGGCAGTGATATGCTCGGAGTAGTCAAAGCCACGAAGAGAACCATAATCTAGAATCTAGAAGCCTGAGTATAAAGGTTGAATATACCCCGCTCCAAATATCACGGACCCTATATATGTAAAAGAAGTTAGCGGAGAAACACCCGCTTTGATCACGGTTCCGTATGATCAGTTCTGATTGAAACTCTCACAACCTTGTTCTGAAGTATTAAGGCTTTTATAGTATGGAATCGCAAGAAGGTCACAACGACCGCTTCGGGTATCGCCGCCACCACCACCACCACCACCTTCCGGATTTTAGGGTTTAGGCTTCGTGTTTAGGGCTTAGGGTCCTGCATGTTTAATTTTCGCAATCATTACACGATGCAGCCCTGAACTGTGAACGCCATCTTGGTATGTTCGGTCAGGAGGTTCAGTTCCCTGTCGCTTCCTAGGCCAGGGTGTCAGTCTCAGAGAGAGCTGAGTGCACGAAGCTCATGTGGACGGAGGTCGAGATAGGGCTTTAAGGTTTAGAGGCTTAGGGGTTCAGGGCTTTTAAGGTTTAGGGCTTAGGGGCTTAAGGGTTTGGGGTTTTACGGTGTAGGGTTTAGGGGCTTAGGGGTTTTAAGATCTACGGTTTAGGACTTGAGGGTTGGGGGTCGACTAATAAAAGAGTCGAAATAGTACCCCCTTTTATGATCCTAACTACAATGACCGCAAGCCCCTACCGCATTACTTGGGTGAAGGCACCCCAGTAGCGCCCTTATACCCTATTGTGCCGGGGTCTCCGCAGTTAGGGAGAAAGGTATTCCAAAAGGATACCGATTCGGGTCATGTTGCACCTTAGTGATATCAGCCTTGTTCCTGAGCGGTGGTACAGGATGGAGCGCTTGTGGCGGTCCGGTCGTGCCACTTGTCTTTTAAGCCGTCTGAAACCCAGACCTTAAATCCCAAAACGCCCTTTCTAAGATTTACTATAAGGCCTAGACTGTGAGCAAGGTGTCCACAGACCCCTAAAACCCTCAAGCCCTCATGCCTGTACTGCGGAGACCAACATATTGGGCTCTTTTTGTCACGTTGTAGAAACTTGGATTCAGGCTTTGACGGTGTGGTCTCCATTGTAGTTTGTTCTGTTGGTTAGCCAAGTTTGGGGTGAGTACGGTGAGTACCCTATAGCAACAGACAGGGTAAGGACAGACCGAGAGAGACCGATCCGCCTTAGTCAGAGAAGCATGCCTTAGATTATAAGGGTTTGCATATTTTGCTCTGAGCCATATTCCTGAAAAAAAGGGGTATTGGGCTCTCTGGGCAGGGCTTAGGCAAGACGACCGGGCGAAAAGGCTGAGGATTGACAGTTTAGGGTTTCTGGTTTTCTGGTGTCAGGAACCCCAAGCCTGGAGCCTACAACAGCGGAATCCTCAACCCTAAACTCCGAAGCCTTAAACCTCTAGGGGTCTAAGGACTCTTTTGTTTTAAGGCTTTTGGGCCCAAAGACCATACTATATAAGGCTTGTGGGCTATTTTGATTCCCAGGAACCCTGATCCAAAACTGAACCTCAAAGCGTTGCAATTGGGTCACTTGTGCAGAGTGCACCTGCTTTTGGAGTTCTTTTCCTGGCCGTCAATGTTTAACCCGCGTAGGAATGGGGTTGCGCGCTGGCAGGGTTTGGAGATGCGATTGACACAGTACGCACATAGCACACGAGCATGTCATGCTTGTTCCCCCAGACCAGTCAAACCCCTAAAGCCTAAACCGTAGGAAGCACGAAGTCCTGAGCCCTAAACCCCTAAAACCATTAAACACGGTCCCAGAACCCCAAGCCCGAACCACAGTTCAGCAATGACTTTCCCTTCCCAATGCCAGAACCCGGTCCGTAAATCAATTAAAGCCTAGATAAGCAAATGCCGCATACATGTAATAACGGTATAGCCGTATATGTCTAGGTAATATACATATGATGCATACATGCATACATACCTATAATATACACATGGTTACATGATTCATTTGCATGTTTCATTTGTTCTTATTTTCCTGTATTTAGGGATGTATATGTCAGAATATACATTTCTATACACACACACACATACAAAGAGCGCCACCCTCAATGTGTGGGGAAGATCAAAGATCTCGCCCAATCCATTGAATAGTGACAAATGTCGCCCAGCGACTTCGGGACACGGCGGCGCCAGTGGGAGTGAGAAATTGGACGTCAGTAGGCTTCTGCCCAGCTTCTTTACAGCGAATCCCAGAAAGTTGGAACATGGGTTTAGGACGATTGTTGCTAGGATCCTTTATACATTAATCTTAAGGGCATGAGGAGAAGGATGTTCCAACTTTCTGGCATCTACTAGAAGGTAGGACACTCATAGACGCAAACTCTAAACCCTAAACCCGAACAGAGCTCCTAGCGGGCTTGGGGGTTCAATGCTTCGGATTCCCAGAACCCAAGTTGAATCCATGCTTCCTCCCGGCTCCCGTGCGTTCAGACGCGCGTAAAGGTCCTAGCCAGGATGGACTTAGGGTGGCACAGGGCAGCTCAAGGTTGAGGGTGTTATGAAATTTGTATAGGTTTCAGAGTCTTTAGACCTTAGCCTGGACCTTGATTCAGGGCGGTTTCGGTTTTGGGGACTTGTGAACTATGGGCTCCAGGCAAGAGTTTATAAACTTCAGCAACCCGCTCTTCAGATTTGTTCCCTATGGCGTGCTTTAGGGCTTAGGGGATTCAGGGCGACTCTTATAGAAGCTTTCCCGAACGCTTACAAAGCCCCAAACGAGACCTCATTCGATCTCTCCTTCGCCTTCCGTATTAGAACATTTATAGAACCGCCCGGAAGAGTAGGGTGGGACCCTTCTGGAACAAAGAGTTATAGAACCCTTATAGAGCTCTGAATGGTGCTGCCGGTGTCCCAAGAACCGTCCTCGAAGAAGGGAGTTTGCGGACAGGCAGACTCAGTACTCCACCCCAGACGGGTGCTTACCCCTGACGGTCCGATTGACCCAACAACGAAAGGAGTTCAAGCGAACTTGTAGGCATTCCATGACCCGTAACGAAATCTAAACCTTAAGCCCAACGCCCTATATAGGAACCCTTAAAAAGGAGCCCTTAAAGGGATCCTCAAAACGGAACCCTTATAAGAAAGGCTGCGTGCAATCTTTTGGGGGTAGTTGAACCCTCTGGGGCTGGGCTGCGAGACTTTTCTCTGAGCTTCGCGCACCGAAGTCGAAGCCCTAAGGGTCCCAAAATACCCAAAAAGTATCTAATTGTATATAAGAGTATATAATAGTACATAAGAAGTACATAAGAAGTATAATACACTTTGGTCCCAAAGTACCTATGTAGGGACCCCACTTTAAGGCCAAAGTCTATAGTAGTTGGGCACAAGGATCCTTAAGGAAGTGGCTCGAACATCGAACATCGAAAAACCAAAGGAGCTGAAACAACGGGGGATGGACGAATTGTTTAGGGCTTGAAGCGTTTTTTGGGGTCGTTTAGGGTTTGGGGTTCAGCGGGGGCTTCGTGCGGGTTTAGAAGGCGGGTGTTGCTGGATTTCAAGTTTTAGGGCTTTGGGGTTTCAGGGCCCGGAGGTTTAAGCAAGAAGCGGTTACGACTTCGGGTTCTTCGCAGGTTATTGGAGACTCCAAGACCCAACAGACTACCCATAGGCCCCATAGTAGTTCCTTATTTTGGGGGTTCATATTTAGAATCCTATAAGGTAATCCCCAAAAGGAAGAACTATGGGGCGTATGGGTAATGGCGACAGAATCTTCTTAAATTGTTCTGGTCTAGGGTATGGGGAGTGTTCTAGGGATACTTCGATTGGAAACCTGACTTGAGGGTATGATTCTTGCGGATCTAGCAGATAAGCCCCACTGATGAGGGTGACACGTTGTCACGGCTCCTCTGGGTAAGAACAGTTCACACATGAGGGTTTCTTGATTTCGGGGCACCTTGCTCGAGCGTGATCATATTCAAGATCCTACGGCTCGAGGTTATATATTCAGGGTCCCCTATGTGAAACTCCCATGTGTGCTGGCCGTGAAGCCCGCAAGGTAACAACTGGGTGCAAAGTCTGACTGAGGCTTTGATTTGTGAGGGGTGCCCATGCCTGGAAAGGTGGGGCGGGATGTGAAGGCATTAACTGAGGCCTACTCGGCGCTTGGTGGTTCCTCCGTTCTTGAGGTGAAGGCGTCGAAGCAGGTGCCATAGACTAATATAGGGGCCTTAATAACTACCTATACTAGTTTTTGGGGGGGACCCTTATTATAATTACGTAGAGTACAATATCAACGCCCCTGTATTATCCCCTGAGCCCGTTTCTGAGGTTTCTGGTCTTCGATGGTCTCAGGGTGCTCTAGGCCTCGCCCAACTCGAAAATAAGGAACACGCTAGAGAAACCCCTTAACCTGAACCCCGGGCATCCTAGCATCCAGTTAGGGAAGTGATTGTGGCGAATATGAATTTTGTGGTTTTTGTCCAAGTGGTTCTACAGAGGCATACGACAATCGATTCTCGAAATTATGTGAAGCGTGGTGGTAGCCGAGACACCCCCAACTACACTCTAATATACCATGACCACTCACTGTTAAGGAAAGAGGCACGATAGTTGAGAACTGCCCTATACTGCGCCCTACATCTTCGAAATGCTACTCCTCATGTTGCAAGCCGCAAAATCCAAGACCGCCAAACCGCACCCCTCCATCGGAGGGTGGCTGCACTTGAACCTTAAGCCTATATAAGCTATCGGGGTTTCGGGGCTTCGACTTGATATTCAAGTAAGGCTTTCAGGAAAGGCATGTGTACCCTCAGCCACAGAATACATTCATGTTGCACGTTTCGATGTACCCGCTGCCCTTCCTTTTTGGAAGGCGATCGATGTTTATGCCTTGAACCTTGGGTCTACTAGCAACTTAAATCCTCAACCTATCATCCGAAAGCCTTGTGTAAACTCGAAACCCAACCCACAACAGCCCTTTACACTAGCAGGTGCATTTCAACTAGCGGGTTCAACACATGCTTCTCCTGCCACGCCGCTGTCAAAAATCACTGTGTCGCAATTGTACTCGTGCTTGAAAGGGCGTTGTTAAGGGCTCTTCAATTATGTGAAGAAATCCTTGGCTCTACAGAGAGAACTCAACTTTAAGGGCTCTAGGACGCAGGATCCCTTGGGCTGTGGGGATTTTGGGTCGTCGGGATTGGGTTTGAGCTTAAGAGATATACGAGCTACTGAGTATGAGTGGATGAATGGTCGTAGCTCTGTTTGGAAAGGTTTCCTTTTTAATGTGAAGGACGCCAGGTACTAGTTTGGGTCTGCATTGAAGCTTATCCATGTGGCTATATAAACACTAGGCATGCTTATCCACGTTCGCTTGCTTCGAAATTCCCATATGCACACAAGGATTCTGAATTCAGCGGTGGGTTTAGCATCCCTGGGTCCTGACAGTTGAGGGCAGTGAGGATGTAATATGGGTGCAACCCCATCCGAGGTTCTTGCTTTTAGCTTTGGGTCGAGAACCTCTTCACCATGCAATCTCAGTCAACAATTATCCGGGCGGCTCAGTACTTTCAGGTAGCGGTTCTTGTTGAGAGTCATGCTCCAATTGCAATGTGAAGTTCGTCGACGCAGTCTCCTAGAACAGAGCTAAGCAGAACATCGAGTAGGTAAGGTCACGCAGCCTTGAGCTCAAGGTTCAAGCTAGTCTAGTATCATTGCCTATAGACTCCAGAGGTCCAGTGACGAACAGCCAGGTTGCGCTATGGCGGACGTTCAGATACGAGTCCTGACTGCAGAAGATCAGGCGGCTGCCTTGGGTGTTGTTCATCATGCGTACGAGGCAAGAAGCGTCGATCATTTGTATCGTGCATACTTGACGTCACCATGGTCCCTGGCGTGTGTTGGAGCACTTGGTCTGGCGTTCTGCCTTCGCTGGAGGTGCATGCTCTTTTGGACCTCCTTCGTCAGTGGTCGCCTCGGGAAGTGTCATCATTCTGTCTGAGCGTGGCTACACGCTGCCAGGTTTGGTCAGCCTCGCCGTCGCTTTGGGTTGTATTGTGTATCCTGTACCGCCAGCCATTACAACGCTGGTCGCCTTGCTCTTCTGGCCTCTTGTTGTTCACATACGGGTCCAGGACAACAATCAGGTTCGTGTGGCACAAACGACTCTCAGGGTTGAGCCTGTGGTCCCGCACTTCTGGGTTGGTTGTCAAGGAGACGGTACCGTGGTTGGAATGGTGGGAATTAGACCCTGCGAAATTGGACGTGACGAGAAGACGGTTGAGATGGTATGTCTTGCAGTAGTTCCGCGAATGCAAAGGCAAGGCGTCGCCAAATTTCTCCTCGAGAAAGTTGAAGAGCATTGCCAGAGGTTCGGCATCACATGTATCAGCGTTACGGTGGGCGAGGCTCAGCCCCGTGCAAAAGCCATGTACGCGCGTGCTGGTTATCAAGTCGAAGGCTGCACAAGGTTGAGACGACATTTCTGGGGACTGAAAGTGTTCACCATGAAGAAGATACTTTGAAGGCTCTGGGCTGTCGTGATCGAGGAAGGCTGACCATCGCCGGGAAGAGCTTCACTTCTACTGGGCTTTAGTATTGCAATGTACTGATTCCCGGCATCCGTGCGTGTTCGGAGGCCACAAAAAGACAGTGTAACTATAACATGACTATTGCGAAAGCATCATCAGCGGCAACACGGCAGTGCTCCCCTTGAGCCTCCAAGTACTCCAGGTACAATACTCGAAGCATGGGATCCTGCGACAGGTTGCAATTCTGTACATGATTGCAGGTTACGGTCAAATGAGGTATGCGTGTGCTTTTTGCAACCTTGACCCCCCCAGCCCAAAACCCCAAGCACTTGCACCTGAACCATAGACCCAGAAATCCTAAACCTGAGACGGCTTGTCGCGTGCACAGGATGTTGCGCTTACCGGAGCCACGTTGGCCCCCAGCCTTCTTTTTCAACTCCTACAGCCTTAGAGCAAGTCTGAATACTTTGAATCTAGTTCTGCTACCCCTGTTCGTTTAATCCTTCTATAATCATGATCTACCCCAAAACCCTAGTCTGTGTTTGAATGCCCCGATAGTGCCCTTCACTTAAGCCGCAGACCTGGATAGTTCTGTGCCTCCCCCACCCCCGCCCTCGGTGTCGCCGAGCTGCGGCGCCATTTACGCCCTGGGCCTGGTATCCCAGGCTGTGGCATTGGCAGCCCCCCGAGTAAGATAGAAGCTTAAGATATTAGTTTCTAATATCATTTCCTTATCATGAGGATACTATAAAGTCGCCTCAAAGCACATTCGAATCATTAGCCCCTGGCCTCCAAAAAAACACCCTGAACACCCACCGTTTCGGACCAGAAAGGGTCTATGACTGGCTACTTCTGCGGGAGTTCCTGGTGGGATTTCGGTTTTCCGGTTTGGTCAGCAGTTTTCTGTTTTAGGGCGTAAGGGCTGCAAACTTTTGGGAGTTTTGCGATTTGCCTAAGAGTTTTCAGGCATTCGAGCTTGGGTTTTGGATTGAAGAGTTAGGCAGTTGGGAGTTCTTGGTTTGAGAGCTTGGTGGGCTTAGGAAGTCAGAGTGGAGGGATTTATCTGAGGCGATTGCATTGAAAACTTTCCTCCTGGCGCGTGGCATACGCATCCATGACATAGACAGGCTGGCTGATCGTCAAACGGTTCTACTATGCGTGTTCGCTCCGGAAGCATGGAAGTGCGTCTACATATTCACTATTCACGGTCCCTTCACGAGGAGGAAAGAGCACCACGGCTGCCAGTCATCATGCAGGTCGAGTGACCGAGACCGGAGTGATAGTCGTGGACAAGGATGTTCGCTTCTCCGACAGGCTGCAGGCCGCTAATGTGCAAAACCTCGGAAAGGCATCCCTGAGCCCTAAATCCCAAAACCTGAAACCCCTAAACCCTTAAATCCTTGAGCCTTAAACCCGAAACCCCTAGACCCCTAAACCCGAAACCCGTTGCCCCGTGGCCGCCGGCCAAGGCCCAGGAGCCGCTGAAGCGGTCTGGATCCTAATATAGGAGCCTGATTAAAGAAACTCTGGGCCCACAGCCCCCAATATAGTAGGATTCATATCAGGAACCCTCATAAAGACCCAAGGTTTCTTAATCAGGTTCCTGTATACACTATCGCTTTCAGTTTGAGGCTTCGGGACTCTTTAAGGTTTAGGTTTCGGGTTCGGGGTTTAGGGTTGAGGGTTTGGGGTTTAGGGTCCTTGGTTTCGGGTTCAGGGTTTAGGGTTGAGGGTTCAGGGTTTAGCGTTGAGGGTTTCGGGACACGTGGGTTTTCTGCGTTCTGGAGTAATTACCATACCTTAATACATTTGTTTGGACCTGCTACTGAAAGGAGCCATTGTTAGGGTTTACAAAGTTCGGAAAATGGCTTTAGGGCTTGTGGGGCTCATGGGGTCTTGACGTTGAAGGGGCTTGAGAACTCAGAACTGAGTTTAGGCTGCAGGACTTTGGGGCTTAGGTGTACATGCGGGTGGTTGTCAAAATTATGGTTCCTTTTTGGGTACCCGAAAGATTAGGTGCCGTAGTATATTAAGGACCCAAAAAGGGACCATAATTTTGACAACCACCCATGTAGCTCAATTACTTGCTGAGGACCTGCTGGTTGAATTGAACATAGGGTTACATAAAGCTTACAGTGAAAGGCTGACAGCCCATTTTGGGGGTCTGCGTTTCGGGGGCTTCACTGGACACTTCAAGCGTGAACCGACTTTCAGAACAACTACTATAAGGCTTGCGGGGCTCCTCAACCGAAACTTCACAACGCCCGGTGATAGTTATCAAGGCCACCATAGTACAGGGTTTCTTGGAGGGTTCTAGTCTCGCTGCAGGCTTGGATCGGATCTAGCGTTGGGTTTAGATTCGGGGCTTGGGGTGTAAAGACAACAGGAGTTTAAGTGCAAGCGGCTAAAGGGGTTGGGGCACCAAGGGGTCTAAGAACCCAAGGGTTGGACTGGGAGAAATGGGGTTGGGCTTTGCGGGGGGTGAATTGTAGGAACCTGATTGAGAACCTTGGCCCTATAATTAACCTCAAATTACTAGGGATGCATAAAGAGAGCCCTAAATATGCCCCAAGGGTATCTTAGTCAGGTTCCTACATTTCCCCTCTCAACTGCCGATGTCGGACTGCTGCTCCCTGCCGGCTGAAGTTTACCGAGTATCACCCTTAGCTTTGGCGAACATCTTCGTTGACACCCCGAGCCAGAGCTTTGCCCTTCATGAAACCTGGCCAATCCTCACAGATCCGATGATGATCGCTACATTCAAACAGACCAAAATGCCTTTAAGACTTTAAGCCCTTGTAGAGCCCCGCTACCTTAACTCCTGACCCCACCGAAGTGCCCCCCAAGGCCCCTGCATCTTTAGAAGCCTGAATCCGGCCAAAGTGCCTCCGGCCTGTCATGGCACTCTCTGCCGCCTCGCGCGAGGGCGAAGAACGCCTATCCTGCAAGCGGGAACTGTCCTAAACTACTTTTGCCATACTTTACCGGCATCATGAGGGCAGTATGAGGGTATTATGGGTGTACTACAAGACAAAACTCTGAATGGAAATGCCAGTCTATCACTCTCGAGACCCGAGAGTGAAGCCCTGAACCTTCCACCCGTATCGGATGCTTCCTCACGCTCTAAACATCCAAGCCAAACCCCTACACCCTTAACCCTCAACCCTGAACCCCAAACCCAACACTTCAAACCCTACGTCCTACCAAAACCCCAAACCCGGAACCCCATAAATCCCAGAACCTGAAACCCTAAACCCTGAAGGCCTAAAGCCCAGAACCCTCAACCCCAGGCCCTGAACCCCATAAGCCCTACCCGGAGCCTCAAAGCCCCAAGCGCTTTGGTTGAGAAGCAACGGCCATGGCGCAGCCGGAGGCGCCTTGCTTCGTCTCTTCCTTCAGGGGTTTAGGAACTATGGGGTTTAGGGACTATAGGGTTTCGGGATTAGGGTTTAGGGTCTAGGGACTATAGGGTTTAGGGGTTATTAGGGTTTAGGAGTTTAGGGACTAGGGTTTGAGAGGTTTAGGAGTTTACGGTTTAGGTGTTAGGCTTGTCATTGTTTCTCAGGCAGTGTTTCGGGGCCCCTAAACCCAATGTAAAGCCAAACCCCTAAACCTTAGGCGGACTGCTTGCAGGGGGAGTACAATCGACGCGGCCGTCCGGCCGAACAGACAAAGGGGGACTTTCTCACGATGCACAAGTTTATGAGGTGGCAGAATGCGACGCAGGCCAAGGGATCCCTGGAGTTCGGCGGGTGGAGCCGCAATCTCCTTGCTGCCAAAAAGGCAACAAACTGTGATGGACATTACGTGCTCGAAAAGGCAGTCCTGCCAGGTGGCGAGGCTGCTACTACTCGGTGGACCCGAACCTCCACGCAAAGGTCGACACCGAGCTGGAGCGCGGTCGGAACACTGAACCTTAAAACCTTCAAGGATATACAGGCTTTTACATGGCACCGCGAGCCTCGCCCTCAACCTGAGGCCCCTAATTCCTGAGACCCCATTCAAGGGTCCATGTACCCACGTGGGGTTCCATCAAGAAAATTCCTTTGAGGTTCCGTTTACGGGTGCTATATTGGAGTTTAAGGTCTAGGGTTAACGGTGATGCAGAAGGGTCCGTGTACCCAATAAGTATATGCTATGTCCCTGCAGTAGTCCCCATTTCGGTACTTTGGGGCCAAAAGCTAGGAAGATACAAGTTAGGTGCATGGACCCTTAGGCAAAAAGTTCATGAGCCACAAATCCGAGAAGATACCCAATGAAATCACCCGAGGAGAACCTCCTGCCCGGCCCCACCTGCTTCCCGTTAAAGATCCCCCGATCCAAAATTACACCAAAAGCGACTCCGGACGACGAAAAGGAGATACAGGTACCAGGGTTCGCATGGCAATGTTGCAAGCTTCAGTGTTTGTTTCTAGCCCCTTCATTTTCCAGCCTCGTTCTTATTCCCTTGCTGTATTGCATGCTCGCTAAGGGAATCGTACAATGTCGTATGCTGTCTAAATCCCTGGCTTCCTAACTCTTGGCAACCAAACCTGTAAGAGAGCAGAGAGGTAGACAGAGATGACCAGAGGTAGAGGGTTTGACGAAGCTCAGCTTTTCCTGCTTCTTGCATCCCCAAACAGCCGCCATGAGCTTTAGTCCTGCATACTTTTTGTTCGTCCTGTAGGGAAGTGGGAACACGAGGTTTCCCACCATGATGTTCGATAGGCCTCGCAATGCTGGTATCAGTTTCAGGAAGTGATTCACCCAACATTGAATAAGGTCTCTTTGCCATATTCATAGGCTCCAAAAAAAATCCAATGGAGCCACCAATGGGTAAGCCCCAAAAGGCCCCGATGGGAGCACGAAAGGGTGCTGGCAGGTGTCCAAGCATCTCAGACGCCTCGCGGGGGCGCACTACGTCTTGCACTCGCCTGAGCGCCGGCGGGATGTGGACGGCGACGAGGCATCGG